CCTCTTCCCCAGAAACGAGATTGTGGCTTCTGGCATATCCTGCAGCAGAGCCAAGGCGCACAAAACTTAAACACTACAGGTTCAACTTTGCAACAATCAATACCTCCAGTCGTTTTCCATCTTCATCGTAAACAGACACTGTAACCTCAACATTCTTTGCCGTCGTTTTGCTTCCTTTATCAAAATCTCCTTGAACTAACGTTACGTAGATATCGTTTCGGACGTCACCTGGGGGGGAAAAATTACACCTTTAAAACCAATCTGTAGGGCCTCCCTGGTGACGCAGTGGTTGCGAGTCCGCCTGCCGATGCGGGGGACACGGGTTCGTGCCCCGGTCCGGGAAGATCCCACATGCCGCGGAGCGGATGGGCCCGTGAGCCATGGCCGCTGAGCCTGCGCGTCCGGAGCCTGTGCTCCGCAACGGGAGAGGCCACGACAGTGAGAGGCCCGCGTACCACAAAAAAAATAAAAACCAATCCATTATTCACAGTGTAACTGTGAATTTTGCCATTCCTAGCAGAGTATCATAAATACTGTATTAGATGATTATGAAATATTTTCTAAAAAATAGTGTCCGCATTTAACAGCATGACAAAGGCAATTTTCATCACTATAAGACTTGCAAGAGGAAAATGTCAGGGCCTCTAATTATCTGCTTGGTGCTTCATGTGGGCAGAGGAGCTCTTACACTCCGCGGGCAGACCATGCCCGGGGCAGCTCGAATGCTGTCAGTGGGTTTGCGCAGACGCTAGACCCCCACAACCCCCAGCATCCATGGCCCACTGCAACCCACATCGCCACCCCTTGTTAGGGCATGGCTGCGGTCATCTGAGCCTCAGTAGCCAAGGTGTATCCCAACACCCACTGGCACAGCAAGGATAACCAGCAACACTGGCCTCCTTTTTGTTCCACTAAGGAGCTGAACAAAAACAGTATTGGAACCACAAGCCAAGGTCCTGAGTTGACACTTAGGATCAGGGACTAGGGATGGGTCAAGAGAGAAACTTTCTGCAAAGAATCCTCTCTCCTCCTAGCAGGCAGCCGTCAAGATCCTGAACAGGGACACAGGGAGCAAAGCCTCATACATTTTTAAAGTGAGATGGGCCTTAAACTGTGCCCAGAAAAAATACAACCCCACACACACACGCAACAAATGAGCTCAAGACGCTTCCTCCTCCTGAGAATACACAAAGCCCCTGGTAATGGTCCGACTGGGAAAACTTTGCAAGCTTCGTTAGCAACATGATTTAGAGGGAGCATCGCTACGCTCTGACGGCTGCTCTGCTGTCTGTCTGGCTGCCTCAACAGTGTAGCCAGGAGCAGCAAATGACCTGCTCTAGGCAAAGAACGAGGATCCCCGAAGAGAAAAAATCCCCTTGGTTTCTTGCTTTTCTTTTGCTTTCTAGACTCTGCTCTATTCTGGCTTTTAATGTAGCCAACTATTAGATTAAGCTTTCATTTAAAAGTCATTATTGTAATAATCCCAGCGGGTTGCTACCACTGCCATAGTAGCTGCTGGAACAGAAGTAGGGCTGTGATCGCCGATAGCGACCACGGAGAAGTTAAGAAGGATGGCGCACAGGGCTGGGGGCAGGAGGCAAGGCTGCCGGTCCAGGACCTGCCGCTAATTAGCTGTGTGACCTCAGACCAGTCACTTAACCTCCCAGGCCACTCACCACTAAACGGCCTGATCGATAAGGCAGGGTCGTCTGTACCAGCGCTCCGCCTGAAAATTCTACCAAAGCACCAACACCATAATCAAAAGGGGCCACAGCAGCTCCATACGGGCCTCATCAGCCAGAGAAGCAGCATGCGCTGGGCAGGGAGGTGGCTGAACCTCAGGGTCCCCTTCTGCTATGGGCCTAGGGATCCTGACTCCAGCCCAAAAGTAAGACCCAGTTTATACGAGGTCAATACTCCCGATGGGCACTCACTCACAAGAGGGTCCCAGCAAATGCCTCCCGGGCTACAAGGTTCTCATTCTGGGGAGGAAGGAGGCTGGAAGCAGATACAGGTGGCCCATCCAAGCCTCCAGCCGCCTTCCCAGCTCCGGCAACAACTCTGCTTCCCTACCAGGATCCTTCAGAAGGACCTAGGGATCCCCAGCAGGGCATGAGAAGGTAGGAGAACCAGCAACAGTGACACGGCCGGCTCTCCCACGGTGCAAAGGAGACGCACGTCTCCATAAACACGCGTATACAAGAAGGCAGGCACAGGTTCTGCGAGGCTGAAGGCGGGGGTCTGACAGAGCCCCCCCAAAAGGGTAAGGTGCGGTGCTCACAGCCTCTCAGTGGTCACTCAGCCACCGAGGATGTGGGGGACTCACTCAAGCCACGCTTGCTCGCTATGGGAAGCCCAACCCCAGACTTAGGACATGGAACAAGCCAGAACAATGGTCAGCTGCACAGTTTTCCCATGCATCGATCATGAGACTATCTTAGAGGTTTAGACTTACTTTTTAAGTCTATCAATTGTAAGGGAGGCACAAGCAGTGTGAACCAGAAGTTTCCCAGGTTTCCCTTTGCACACGAGGGCCTCCTAAGGTCACCCAAGATAAATGCATGATGTCAATGACGTTATCCTCACCTACAAATTTGCACCTCGAATCCAAATGCAAACAGTATGTCCACTCGGAAGTCCAAGTTAATTAGCTGCATACAGAACAGCCTTGACTCATACAAGCAATAGGTGTTCCATCGTTTCTTAACTTGCTGAGTGTCCTGCTTACCTCCTCTACAGGTGAGACTGGCAAACATTCAATCTAGCTGATGTCAGATGTCCTTCCTATCACTTTAACAGACAGAGTAGACAATGACCCACAACAGCCCTGAAAGGCAGAGGGAGCAGAAAGAACATATCCCTAAAATGCCCTAAAATAAACAAAGCAATAACATCGAGGCACACTGAGTGCCCAGCTCTCCCTGTGAACCTACAGCAAAGCCCTGTACCAGGAGGCTGCAGGGAAGCACCGACCATGGGGTGCTTTGGCCCCGTTTCCACTGCTCGTTACCCGTGTGTCTTCAGGCTGTGGCTTAATCTTGATGGGAATTAGTTCAACACCAATTTGTAGGCTTCCAAGATCCTTATATGGAATCAAGCTAGATTATTAACGGGAGCAGTATTTGCAAACCAAAAAGTATCCCACGGTTATCAAGGATAAAGATTCATGCTTCCCAAGATCTCGTTGAGAATCAAATCAGATGATTAATATGAATGTCATTTGGAAACTGAAGGCGTATGTAAATAGCAGAGGTTAACCTTAACATGGGCCCTCATTATCAGTTTAATAAGCGTAAAACCCATGGTTGGGCTGGGGCGATACTAGTGTGATAACTAATACACACTGAGCGGGTACCGGGTGTAAACATGCACAGGCTTCATCCATGGAACCTGTGCATCCGCCCTGCGGCAGCCTTTGTGTGGGGCTGTCACCTCCTGCTCCCGCTTCCTTCTTTTGACCAGATGTTCCTTCTTTTGACCAGATGTGTACATGTGTAGTGTGTCCCTGTCTCCCTCATACAGCCCTTGCAGCTGGGAGGAGCTGGCCCCTTCCAGAGGTCCCTGTGGCCGATGTGCATATGTCACCACCATCGCTGTCCAGGGTCCCCAGGGCACCTGAGCAGTCCAGGCCAGATGACGCTCGGCCTGCTTGTTTGGAAACGCTGGGTGGAAAGCATGTCGTTTTCTTCAGGACACTGGGATTTGGGAAGAAGATGGGCGCCAGCAGGACCTGTCCCCAGAGGATAAAGTCAACACGCAAAGGAGACAGCTCAGCAGAGGGGGCTGCAGAGAACGGGAGCCAGTGGTCCAGGCTGACCTGGCAGCAGGCTCTGTCCCTTTTCCTCATTCACATGACCGACAAATATACTCAGGGTGCGGCCATTTGAGCTGGCCTTGTGTTTTCTGTTACTTACACCCTAAAGCATCCTAACTCCAACCAGATCTATAGGTAGGAATTATTATTATTCTTGTTCTTCAGAGGAGGAAACCACAGCTAAGAGAGATCGGGTAACTTGCCCAGGGCCAGGGAGGGGCAGACATGAAATTCATACCAGAGGGTGGGATGCCTGCACTCTCACTTCTCGGGGCCAGTGGATGGGGTTCAAGGCTGTGGGCCACTGTGGTGAAGAGACATTTAACCCATAACCTACTAAAGAGGGTTATTTTCAAAGCTTGGAACATAAGAGGGTATATTTACCCAAATTTTGTGCTCCCTTCATTTTGAACACATTCTGGATAATTCAAATGCTCTTATAGGATCATAAGACGGGCCCAGGACCATCATCGTGAACGTACGTTATTATCGTAAAGGAGTCGCCCAACCATCATAATCAATCCGTTCCTCAGAGCCTAAAAGTGAATTCTGCACAGCTCTCCAAACGGTCCCCTGTCTGATCACCCTCTAACACATTATTAAGTATCACTCGACCAAACGCATTCAGTCCTTCAGCCAGGGTGAGTGAGATGTCAAACGCCCATTCTTCCATTCCAGACACTGTGGGCAGAAGACAAATTGCAGGCATCCTGATTAAGGGCAACAGCAGAACACGGAACAGCAGTGCGTTTGATCACGATCATGATGGCGTTCTGCCCAGCTGGCGACAGAAACCAGCTCAAGGTCTCAGGGCTGGGTCTCTGGCCAATGCTGTTTCATTCGCTTATCCCTGTTACTGTATCACCAGGAGGCACTCCACACCAGCCCTCCAGGGTTATTACAACCAAGAGAAACCTCCTCCCCTCGGCCTGACCCCGGGTGCTCGGTTGTCACGCTGGCCGCAGCTCCTGCCTGCAGGAATGACCCATCGCCACGCGGGGCTTTACACCCTCGACCCTCTGCTTCCCTGAGCTCCTACCTAAATGTCGCTCTTTGCGGCCAGCTACATAAACCCTCCCAATGCCGGCCGCATCCACCCCACGCTCAGAGGGGCTAAAGGATTCATCCATTCTTACCAGGCATGATTATCTCCGGAAACCCCGTTTTCCGAGCCACTGCTGTGGTCCTGTCCACCAAATGAGGAAATTCTTTTCTAATCTGATGGATATCTCCAGGAAGTAATTTCAATGTTACCCACAAACCTAGAAAAGCAATGGATGCATGAGTCACATTTTATCATGTACATCTTTATATCTTGTACATTTTTAGAAGTTTTCATGAAATCAATATCAATGAATGAGCAGCTTTTAATTCACAACGCAATGCCTTAAGAGGACGTGTAGGTGGATGAGAAAGACAGGAGCGGGACCAGGGAAAAGGTGCCTGGCACAGATGCCTGCATCTGATTAGCTGGGATGCAAATCCCACACTGGAGGAGCCTAAGGACGTAACAGCAGTTACGTGCTACCTCTGCCTGGGACTGATGACTCTTTTGAGTTGATATACATTGAAGATAAATCAGAAGGTAGCATTTTTCTGGAAGCGGATTAAGAAGGCTATCATCTTCCATTCTCCCAAGAAGGATGATAGCGGGAGAGGATTCAGGAGGTAAATGCACAGCTTCACAAACCCACGAAAGTATCCAGTTGCTCAGTGGCACCCGTGCTCCCGGGAAGGGGAGCCGCAGAGCACAGGGCTGGGGAACACCAGCGGGCCACCCACACGACTGGGACAGCGGCAGTCAGGGCAGCCCCGTCCCTCTGTTTCACAATGTCACAGCAAAGTAGCAACTAATGCTCTGGCCACCACTCAGCTCCTTTCTCCAAGGGGGAAAATGAAGGCTTTCAAACCCTCTAAAAGAGATTCAAGGATGCCCAAGAGAGAGCACGGTGTACCTGAGAGGCGTGTGTGCCCTGCCCTCTCTCCCCCGCTCCACAGAAGCTGACGCATTTTGTATAAAATGCTCCAGGAGCAGCAATCAAACAATAAGAGGGAAGAAAGCCGACACTTGACAAAGTCAAAGGCAGGACACAAAGCAGTCGCTTGGCTCTGTCAGTGTTTTCAAGGACGTGCTTTCCTAGGGAGGGAGGGGTATCACTATCAGTTGGCAGGTCGGGGTCTCCATCCTTGAGACTTTGGGGGCCTGGCCCGCTTGCTCTCCTCTCACTCAGCTCTGCGGGACCCCACCTGCCCATCAGAACATAACAGTACCTGTCCTCACTTACATGACTACTGTGTGTGTGCCCACGTGTGTATGTGTCTGTCTGTCCAGCTGTCCCTCCTCTAGATGCATGCTTCCGGGGACCACTCACCACTGTTTAGCTCAGCACCCTGCACTCAGTAGGAGGAAATGGGAAAACCACAGACCTTGTTCACAAACAACTTTCATTCTAACTGGACCTGGAAGACAGCTGATGTGGACACACAAGGAACGCACCTGAGGCTGCTTCTGCTACGAGCGGCTCTGCTCAATTAAACCTCACGCCTCACTCCCTCCCCCTCCCCTCTCCAGCCCCCTCGTCTCCCAGCAGCTGGCCTGTCCTCTGCAAAGATTTACACAACTTGTCGTTGAGAAAGTCCACAGTCACTGATGACATTTTATTCTTTACCAGCTGGTGAAAGCCCTCTCCTCTTGCCAACTAGACTGTCCCTCTGATTTATTCAAAAGTACCTAATGTGCACCCACACAAGGCACTGCAGACACAGGGCAAAGACTCACTACACCACTGCCAGGGGCTCACTTCCATTCCATGAGCCAAACACCAAGGGTGTCTCTGTGAAATACGTGCCTACAAAGAGCTTTCTAAAGCACATGTGGAGACTGCGCTCCTGGGCGTCACAGAGGCTCCCCTGAGGAAGGAACACTGTGCTGAGATCTGAGGGGTGAGGAGACGCTAAATAAGGGGGTTCCAGGCTGCAGCCCCAAGATGCAGGGGGAAGAGGCATGGGATGCGGCTGGGAAAGCAGCACAGACCTGACCCCAGGGCCTGTCAGCCGTGGCAGGAGCTATGGTCCCCACCAAAGGGCCCGGGGGAGGAGCCCGACCTGACAGGGCTCAGGTGGCTGCATGGGACTGGGTAGCTGGGAATTTAGGGCGAGGTGAGGACCCCAGTGAAGAGACCACTGCAGGAGCCCAGGCGGACACTGGCAGGGCCTCAGCACCGGGGGCAGGGGTGTTGTGAGCAGCATGAGGGTCATATCAGAAGTGGAGGAAGGAGGGATGGAGGGGGAGTGGCTCTCAGAGATGGCGACAGTCCTGGGCATGGCCAACAGCGGGTGCTGGCACACCCTGCATCCCAGTGGAGACGTCCTGAAGGGTCAGAGCACAGAGGGAGGAGGGCAAGAAGACGCCCGTCCTGTGCCCAGGAGAGCTGCTGACACCGAGAGTCCACGCAGGGCACGAGAAGTCGGCGAGAGACAGGGGTAGGCAGAGGGCAGAGAAAAAAGAAAACCAGGTGCGGGTGGCATCAGTGTGGCCGATGGCACAAAATGCAGCCCGAGGAAAGGGGAGCGTCTGCAGCACGGAGCAACCAGGGTGGGCCCCAGCAGGAGCCGTCCTGGGGGAGGAGACGGGCAAATGCCGCCGGGAGACGGGCAGAGAGGTGACAGGAGATGAAGGGCGGACAGCAGGTGAAAGAGTCCCCTGAGAGATCAACAGTGGCGTCAAGAGCGAGTCAATACAGAGACAGAGGGAGAATTCTTTGTTTGTTTCCTTTTTTTCTTTCCTTCTACATTTTTCCCCTTTCTTCCTTTTTAAGATATAAAATTCCCGATCATGAGAGGGAGACGTGAAGAAGTAGGAGAGAAGCATAACCAATAAAAATTGGTCTCTAAAGAGTGGTCACGGGGTAGCACCCCAGCAGGCACACGTGTATCATTGCTCAGGATGTGCACTGCACAAGGCAACTAGCAAAGAAAGGCAAGTGGGAGCTAAATCCAGCCTGCACTCTGCTCACCAAGCTGTGTATCCTGGCAGCGATGCATCTCCCCACTCACCCAGAGGACAGACCATCTCTAATTCACACAAAAGCACCACAAGCGGGACTTCCCTGCTGGTGCACTGGTTAAGAACCCACCTGCCAATGCAGGGGACATGGGTTCCATCCCTGATCAGGGAAGATCCCATATGCCGCAGAGCAATTAAGCCCGTGCACCACAACTACCGAGCCTGCACTGCCAAGCCTGAGAGTCACAACTACTGAAGCCCGTGCACCTAGAGCCCATGCTCCGCAACAGAAGCCACAGCAATGAGAAGCCCACAACGAAGTATAGCCTCCGCTCGCCACAACTAGAGAAAGCCTGCGAGCAACAACGAAGACCCAACACAGCCATAAATAGATAAATTTACATTTTAAAAAAGCACCACAGGGCTTTCCCGGTGGCGCAGTGGTTGAGAGTCTGCCTGCTGATGCAGGGGTCGCGGGTTCGTGCCCCGGACCAGGAAGATCCCACATGCCGCGGAGCGGCTGGGCCCGTGAGCCATGGCCGCTGAGCCTGCGCGTCCGGAGCCTGTGTAGGATGAGTGAACAGACGGACCCTTGGAGTGCCGGGCACCTAACCCCTGCCTCTGTCCTCCAGCAGAGAAGACCAGGGAAAAGGGATGCTCACAGAAGTGCAAGGGGAATTATCACTGCACATGACACTTGACATGAACCTGTTCCCTGCTGGGGACATCAGGACGCAGCTAAATCTTAGGAGTCTGAGTCCCGAAACCTCGCAAAGGAAGGAATATCTCCAGAATAAATCTAACTCGAAGACACTTTTCAAGGACTTGCAGGACGTGCTGAGATAATTAAGAGGGTTTAAAAGTAAAGATGTCTTTCCAACACTTTTTCCTTCTCACAAGTACCAGCTTGCTCAACTAGCTGATGAACCAGTAACTTGGTGACACAACTTGTTATAACACAATTTAAACACAGAGATTAAATCTGCCCAGTTACGTTGGGTTTCAAACACTTTCCTCAGAGGAGGAAATGAGGCCAATTTTCAAGGGAAAAGTGTATTTAAGTTGACTTTTGCTAAACCAGAGTAACTAAACACAAAAGGGATTATTAGCATATACTATATTTCAAACAACAGGAGCAGATGTCTGGGGATGTATGAGGACTCACCGTCCACATAAAATACCCAGTGCCTCTGGGTTCAGAATAATTTGGGCTACATATAAAAGATGTCCATTGCAACAAGTAAACATGTAGATGTTAACCTAAACTAGGCCAAAGCCTGGAGACCAGTTCAGAAGGGACAGGCCACGTCCCTCCAAGTCCCTTCCACAGCTCTGTGCACTTGACTGTGTGAAGTGATGGGTCACCATGGATGGAAACATGGGTGGGGCTCCACTGGGCAAAACCCCGCAAACCTGGCAGCTCGCTCCACGCTGCATTCACTGGGCCCCGGGCCTCTCAGCTCTCCCTGGAATGCACTGAAATAGGCCTGAGAGTGAGCCCTGGCGAAAGGTCACTCCATCACTTCCGGTTCAAGGTCAACCTGAGCCAGTGATGTGGCCCAAGGGCATTTTGGTTCAGGAAGGCACCAACGGTCCCTCTGAAAACAATCAATGTTCTTGTCACTTAGCTCTCACTGTGACCTGAAAGCACCCCTCCTCCCCCCGGAGTTCAAGGAATCGGGGTACCCTGGCAACAGTCCATCTCTGTGACACAGATTTTGGCCACAGTACCAGTGAGACTGACAGAGGTAGGCCATGGGTCCTCTTTGTGATCAAGTTCCTGCTGGCCGGCCACCAGTCTCCACTTTTCCTGTGTGACTGTAATAAAAGTGTATCAAAAACTCTGATGACTTTACAAGAGGAGCCGGGGGCCGGAGGCCCTAGCGCTCTAATCAAACAGCTTTAATTGGATCTCCCCGTGGTTTTCAGTTAAAGTGCAAATTGGGAGGGCTGCTAATTTACGAGAAGATGGGTCCTGGGTCAGCTGAAAATTCTCTGTCTAGAGAGGCCATGATTCATTAACGTTTTGGGCAGGGGTTTTTGTTTTGTTGTTTTCCAGGTAAGGGGGGTGGTTCATATCAAAAGAAAGCCAAAAAAGTCCCTGCAGAGGGATGGGGCTGTTAATGCCTCCAGGACATTCTTTAGGCTTGATTCACGCTCTCCCTTAGAACAATGGGAAATGAATCAAGATAACTGTTTCTTAAAAGTCTGGTGACATAAGGTAACTAGACAATGAAGCAGGTCTGTTCACCTCAGCTCTACTGAGTTTATGGTTAGGTCTGCATCTAATCAAGGACTGAGGGATGGATATTCCCACTGGTGCTAAAAGCAGCCTCAGGTCGGAGCAACTCAGAAGGTGACTCCCCCAACTTCCCTTCCAGCTGGAAGCGGGGCCTCAGTAAACACTTGTTTTCCGGCAGCCCTCCTGGCCAGCCGAGTGCCAGCTGTCACCAGCCCGTGATGATTGATTCGTTGCCTCTGCCAACAGAGGGTCAGCCACGGGGAAACTTGTCGGCGTGGGATTAAAAACGATGACTGCAGGCTGGGGAGCAGGGGAGGAGAAATGCCCTCGATCACAGAACTGAAGGGGAACCAGTCTGCGAAATGGAGCCACTTTCTCAGGGGTACGGGGTGCAGGGGCCCCGGAAAACAAGGTGGCAGTGATTAGTTCACAACACGAGTGAGAAAAAACCAGCGAGAAGAGCACGTGGGGAGGTGGGTGATGTTGAATGTCTCTGTACAGCAAGGTGCAATCACAGGCAGTGGACAGTTACTTTGTTCTCTTGTGAAGTCATTCAAGTGTTCTGAACAGAGGAGGTGGCTGGAGAAGTCTGAGGAAAGCAAACAGAGGAGTTGCTTCCAGTCCTATCAACCCTGGGCTCTTTCCAAACATTTCATCGTATCCTAGTCAGTTTTCTCCTCTCATCCAGGAGCGTGGCTCTCAGCAATGCTTACAAAGATGATCGGCAAGAAAACCCTCACAGGCTGTACATCAGGGACAGTGAGTACAGCATTACCCAACCCTGCCACCATCATCATTATCAGCGTCAGCAGCATCACCACCATCAGTATCACTGTTATCATCATCGTCATCATCATCGTCACCATCGTCACTATCATCATATCAATATCACCATCATCAATATTATCATCACCATTATCATCATCATGTCATTATCACCATCATCACCATCACCATCATCATCACTGTTGTCATTTTCATCATCATCATCAATATCATCGTCACCATCACCATCAAACTAAAATTCAAACCACAGCATGTTCCCAAGTTCATGCAAATGGACTCTTATAGAAACAAAACCATAGAATACATACCCTGGCCCTTGTGGTTGACTTCTTTGGCAGCAATGACTTTGTTTATAACAGTCTGAAGGAAGTCATTCTCCCCCGCCACCCTGGGTGAAAAACGGGATGACATGTTCAGCGGCTTGTGTCGAATGGCGTCGTCCAACGCGAGCCTGGAGGGCACGGGACGACCAAGACCACAGGAGACAAAGGGGCACAGGGACCCAGAGGTCACGGTAACAAGGGAACACAAGAGATCATCATCACCGAGTGCGAGAGAGAGTCATCACAAGTCAATGCACGACAAAGGACAGGATAGGTGACAAGAGAGACAGGGAAGAGCATTGATCAGGAAAATGCTGAACCACACAAGAGAAGTAAAGCGAACGAGGTCAGCCCCATCCCCGGGAAATAAAGGTGAACCAGAGCACCACTCCACATCTATCAGACAACTTACAAAAAGGGAACTTGTCTGAAAATAACTTGGCCGAAGAGCATTTAATCCCAAGGAATGTTTATGACCATTTCTTCTTTTTCATTAATTCTTGACCATATAACATAGGTCAAGAGGTGGGTGCTTTGAAGGGAAAAGCAAAACCAAGACATAAAAAACAAAAGATCCCTCGGACCTAACTGCTTGGGAAGCTTGGGTAGCAACCACTTTGCTCCATCAGACTGTGCACTAAATGTAGCCTAAAAGAATTAAATGTGAAAAGAGTGGCATAATCTTCAGAGAACACAACTACGATGCCTGAAGAGTAAAACTGTGACACAATTATAAATGTAAATCATCAATGTTTTGGGGACTCATGGATCAGGAGCTTTTAACAGAAGCTGCACTAGGACTGAGAAAGTAAAAACAAACAGGCGACATGGGCAAAGGGAAATACCATGTAGCACAGCAAAGCACAATATGCAATAAGCAAGAAAATATACATCATGTATATAATGTTTAAAATTATTTCAGAATCTAGGACAAGCGCTATTTATCGCTTGAGCCCACATTACTCAAGAAAGCTGAGTGCCGTTTTCATTTACTTCACCAAGTTAAAAAAAGACAGAGAGGGCTTCCCTGGTGGCGCAGTGGTTGAGAGTCCGCCTGCAAATGCAGGGGACGCGGGTTCGTGTCCCGGTCCGGGAGGATCCCACGTGCCGCGGAGCGGCTGGGCCCGTGAGCCATGGCCGCTGAGCCTGCGCGTCCGGAGCCTGTGCTCCGCAACGGGAGAGGCCACAGCAGTGAGAGGCCCATGTACCGCAAAAAAAAAAAAAAAACAAAACAGAGAGAGAGAAATGTACTCTATGCTTCCTTCCCTAAAATTTATCCTGTGGTATAATAGATCAGTTTTAATGGAGCAAAAAATGGGTTTCATTAGCATGGCATTTCCCAAAGAACTATTTCCATTGCTTATTTTGCTATTAAAATCATGCTTCTCTTCTGTTTCTAACACTGAACATATGAATCTGTATATCAGTCTTCCTTTAATGGAGCAGGAAGTCACAAATTACAGTTAAGAACTGCACATGTGATTAAGTGGACATTTCACTACAAGAGAGAAAAAGGTGGCAGCAAGATGCCACCTCAAGTAGGTCATAACAAGTCCCGGTGAAACTGAGATTAGTGAGTCTAAAACTAACCCCCCTCACTTTTCAAACCATAACCCAAGGGGTTTTTTTCCCTTGACTTTTCCCAGAAGACACTAGTAGGCAACAGGTAATTTCAATGCAGTGGTGCATTTGGGCATCAAGAAACTCTGAGGTCTAATGAATAAAAACGGCATTCAAAACATCACTGGGTTGCATTGTTTTTCTCATGGGCAACTTAATAGTATTGTTTTATAATGGTGTGTTTTAGTTATTACCTCAATATCTGCCCATGTTCCAAGATTATGTTCTCCTTGTTTACTAAAGAAACTTCCAGATTCTGCAGAATGGAGTTCCCTTTGTAACTCTCTTCACCAGGTATGATTCCAAAGTATCACGTTCCAATAGAACGTTCTATGATGACGGGAATGTTCTCTACCTGCACTGACCAATCTGGTAGCCACTAGCCACCTGTGGTACTGAAGACTTTAAATGGAACTAGTGTGATGGACGCACTAAATATTTTAGTTAATTTTCATGAACTGAAACGGCCACACGTGGCTAGTGGTTACAGTGTTGGACAGAAGAATAAATCTAAAGCAATGAAGCCACAAAAAACCTTCACCTCCAGTTGTGTGGTGAGATACGTAAAAGTGAACCTCAATTTCAGGCACGTTAATGCAATGTTTTCTGTTATTCTAAATGCCTAGTGAGCCACGCTTCAAGATGCTGCCTGACCAGATGACCTGCCTGCAAAGAAAACCACTCTGTTCCACCTTGAACAAGTGGTTCTCAAGCCCGGGGCTGAAGGCGCGGTCCGTCGTGCAAAGACAGGGGCGCAAAGGGAGACCACCTCCCACCTCCTGCTCCCCCATCCCCCCAGGACAGGACTCCCCCTGCCACCCGCCAACCTCCAAACCCCCTCAGCCAACACCTGAAAACAACCAGAACTGGCTAAAATAAAATTTCTTTCAAGCCTGGAATCACTTAAGTAGAAACAGAAATGAGGAGAAAAGACAGAATGCAGGGCACTATGACAGGTCATTCTAACTCAATTTATCCTTTACTCTGTCTTCTAAGATTTCACACCGCCAGGAGGAAACCCCCTCTTGTAGTTAACCTAAACCCCTCTAATTCCTCCTCCTCTCTCTCTGTCTAAGGTGGAGAAGTGCCCTTGAAGGGACTGCAGACCATTATCCAGGTGCCCTCTGGCTTTAATCTCCAGGGAAATAACACCAATTCTTTCAACCTTTTCCACGGGAACTACCTTCAAATCGGAGAATCAATTTAATGAATGTCCTCCAAGTGCTTTCCAAGCACGCCTCTCTATAGACTTCAGGTCAGAACTGGACAAACCCTAAAAGTGGCAAGCACAGACAACGTCCACTCGAGGCAGCCCCAGAGACAGAAAAATCACAAGTATTATTTCTCACTTTACAGAAGAATTCATTCTTATTGTGTGTGGTTTTTTTATTTTGAAGACAGCAACTTCCCATGAGGAATTTGAAACTACTGTATTTTGAAACTGTGAATAGCTACTAGAATAAATCAATTATGTAAAGAAACATGCATGCTCAGATTGGAACTGTAATTCTGAGTGTCCTACGTGATAAGGCGCGTCAGGGATCACACGTAAAATCCTCTACTAGCAAGACCATAAACTTTCACCCAGGTTTCTTGCGACTACAAAAATGCCCTTCGCTAGAGCAGCGCCTGAACAGATGTTTCATTATTATTCAATAATCAATTCCTGTTTGTGCTGAATTTATAAACTGAATTATAAAGATAATTATTACAAACATACATTTTCCATATTCTATCTGGTTAAGTACTTTGCCCCATACTTACGGCTGAAAGGGAATGAAATGCTGTTTGTCTTCATCATCTACTTTTCCATTTATTATATCTGTTACATCCATCACTGGGAACAAGAAAAGAACAGAGGTGGTTTTGCTTAAATGCTATCAGCATAGAAGACAAACAAACAAAAGAACATCAGAATGTCCTCTGACCAACAACAAACATAAACTGGTGCAATTTTTTTACGTTCAAGTTTAAAGTATTTCCACGTTTGAAAGACCGATCAAGTTATCTGAAAACACCAGCCCAAATGGGGTTGGGGCTTAAACAGCAGAGTTCCACCTAATAAATTCCTTTGTCTATTATCCAACTGGCACTGACTTGAGTTGCATTTTCCAATAGAACCTTGTGTGTTGATGAAATTTTCTATCCCAAGGAGCATCTAAACTGTGGCCGGTGGGATGGAGGAACTGAATTTTTACTCTGATTTCATTTTTATGCCCAAATAGCCACATGTGGCAGGGCGACCATACTGGACAGCACTGTTCTGGAGCCTCACATCAGCCACTGCACGGCCCCAATAAGGCAACAGTACATAAAGTGGCTACGGTTTACCCACCCCGCGCTGGCATCTGTGGACACCATTTCAAGAAACACTGGACAGCTAATCCCCTCACTCACCTACTGTATGGTTGAGGAAACTAGTCTCAAAGACGTGAATGAATGTGCCCAAAATCTGGCGGCTGGAACATCACCGATGCCCAGCTCAGACCAACACAGCGAGAAACCCCAAGAAGAGCCCTAGGGGCACTGGACACGTGCTCTGCCTCTGCTCAGCTACCACAACTGACTGCAGGTACGTGAGCAACATGCCTCATTTATTTCCCTCTGCACAGTCCCCTCTTTAACAACATACAATCATATATTAAAAATGAGGACAATTTCCATTTCTACCACTTCCCTCCACCCTAAAAAGGGGGAAGGGATTTGCAGGACCAGAACAGAAGCATCCCTGCTGTTGTTAAGATGGTCATATGGCCAAGACTCCATCTTTACCACCAGTTCTGAACCAACAAATAGAGCTCATTTTTCAGCCCAAGTCCAATCAGCCTTCGGTATTTGCAGCAGCAGCTCAGACAGCTGCCTCCATATGGGTCAGAACAAGTGAGTCTGAACCCAGGAGACTACCTCCTGCAGCCCAGGCCGCACGCAGTGAGCAGCTCTCCTGTGTCTGCAGACCTCTCTCCTCTGGGACTCATCCCACCAGCTGACTATGAGTCTCTCTGATAATCCAGCTCCCTTGTCAAAGCCCCGTCTCTAGCCCTGGACACATCCAGGGGCCCAGCAACTACTGGCAGGAAGGCAGCATGTGAGCAAGAAACACAACCTAGGTCTGAGCACCAGTAAGTTGAAAGCAGCCTTAGCTCTGCTATTTCCTGGGACTGACAGCCCCTTTGGGCCCCTAGCCCAGTCTCAGAGGGAAAGGCGTTGAAATCGCCCATCACCATGTCTTTCCCTCACTGGTCTTCAGCACACAGGCCCTGGTGAAGAAAGTTCTCACTGTGATTGGGACTTTGGGCATCAAAGGTCCCCGTTGCCCAGGGAAGAATGAAGGACTTGGGGGTGTCACCCCCAAACTAAGAGCCCAAGCGTTTCTATGTTCAGGTATGAGGGTCCATCTTAAGAAAGCCAAGAGTCCACTACTGGGCAGATACCCTGAGAAAACCATAATTCAAAAAAGAGACATATACCCCAATGTTCACTGCAGCACTGTTTACAATAGCCAGGACATGGAAGCAACCACAGTGTCCATCGACAGAGGAATGGATAAAGAAGATGTGGCACATATATACAATGGAATATTACTCAGCCATAAAAGGGAGTTATTTGCAGTGAGCTGGATGGACCTAGAGTCTGTCGTACAGAGTGAAGTCAGTCAGAAAGACAAAAACAAATACCGTATGCTAACACATATATATGGAATCTGAAAAAACAAAAGGTTCCGAAGAACCTAGGGGCAGGTCAGGGATAAAGACACAGACGTAGAGAATGGACTTGAGCACACGGGGTGGGGCGGGGGGGAAGCTGGAGCAAAGTGAGAGTAGCATGGACACATATACACTACCAAATGTAAAACAGCTAGCTAGTGGGAAGCAGGCCCATAGCACCAGGAGATCAGCTCAGTGCTTTGTGACCACCTAGAGGGGTGGGATAGGGAGGGTGGGAGGGAGATGCAAGAGGGAGGGGATATGGGGACATATGTATGCATACGGCTGATTCACTTTGTTGTACAACAGAAACTAACACAGTATTGTGAAGCAATTATACTCCAATAAAAATCTATTAAAAAGAGAAAGAAAGCCAAGAGTCCAGCTGTGTGTAGTCACCAAGGGTGTGTGACAGAGGAGGATCTAAATGGCCCAGAAGCATGACATCACAGGATGCAGGCGGTAGACGGAAGGTGGCGTCAGGATGCTGGTGATAGAGGAGGGACAGCACAGGTAGAAAGCCAAGAAGGCAGGGATGAGAAGCAGGCTCGAGTGACACCTCCCCACAGCCTGCTCATAGCCACTGGGCACCACGCATCCAGGTGGCCAAGATGCACAGGATCCGCTTCTAGGGGTTCGTCCTCTCCCAACAGTCAGAAGAGACACAAAGATCCAAGTTCAAGGATGTGCATCGCATACCTGGGCAAGAATATGTTTTAATAACTCCCCAGACTGTATATATGATTGTATAAGTGCAAATGAGAAATACACTTAGGGCTGAGAATCGTTGCCTTAAAAGATTTTCCTTTTGTGCCCAAAGCGTACATGGCCACATCGCACGATGAAATGTCCTCCCTCCGTCTCAGAGCAGACAGGAGTAGGAAGTTGGGAGACACATAAGAAGGCGGCTCAGGTCCTTACGTAGCAGCTATAGAAACACACCAGCTCAACAGTTCAGGAAAGCCAGCCCTCTGGGATGAACGTGGACGGTAAGAGATCGCTTACCCCCTCCCTACCTCACCCCACTGCTCCCTTTTGCTCTGAACCTAAAACTGCTCAAAAAATAAAATCTATTTAAAATGGGCCAAAACAAAACTAAACGAAACTAAGCCCTGAGTTTCCTGGTAGCCCAGGTAAAGAGTCCTTCCATCTCCACTCATACAAGAAATCCAGTGATGTATCAGAAAGGAAGAATTTTCTCATATACCTATTGATATAAATCCCAAGAATCACAAAAAGGACGGGAAAAAACAGAGGGCTGCGTAATGAAACTCCACTGCAGCCATCAAATCGTGAGAGAAAATCACTTCCCAAATTGTGAAAAATGAGAGTGACACTGAAAGAGGTCAACTAATTAGGACGTCCTGGGGACACTTTCCTCTCCCCTCCACAGAGATAACTCATCACTCCCTTTACTTGTGCTGTCACCAAAAACAAAACAAAAACAGAGCACACGTGGCAGGATAAAAGGCCCCTATTTGAAGAGAACTCTGTCCTCTCCGGGCTTTCTGCTCCTTCTACCTTTTAATCCCTTTGACCATTCTGTGTAAATTCATTCCTAAATCAATCAATCGCCAAGTCCAGAAACCCTGCAACCCTCCAGTGACTGGTTTCCCTCCAGGATGAGCATGTGGGTCAGGGTCTCCTCCAGGAGATAGGATCTACTTTCAAACCAAATATATAATTTGTACCTGAAGCTTGTGGAGCAAAGACCCTGAGCTGCATGTGGACCTGAACCAATGCAGAGAAGAACGAATACATTTTTTTTTTCTCTCCAACAGAAAAGCTTATAAATCAAGCGGCTGATTCACTTTGTTGTACAACAGAAACTAACACAGTATTGTGAAGCAATTATACTCCAATAAAAATCTATTAAAAAGAGAAAGAAAGCCAAGAGTCCAGCTGTGTGTAGTCACCAAGGGTGTGTGACAGAGGAGGATCTAAATGGCCCAGAAGCATGACATCACAGGATGCAGGCGGTAGACGGAAGGTGGCGTCAGGATGCTGGTGATAGAGGAGGGACAGCACAGGTAGAAAGCCAAGAAGGCAGGGATGAGAAGCAGGCTCGAGTGACACCTCCCCACAGCCTGCTCATAGCCACTGGGCACCACGCATCCAGGTGGCCAAGATGCACAGGATCCGCTTCTAGGGGTTCGTCCTCTCCCAACAGTCAGAAGAGACACAAAGATCCAAGTTCAAGGATGTGCATCGCATACCTGGGCAAGAATATGTTTTAATAACTCCCCAGACTGTATATATGATTGTATAAGTGCAAATGAGAAATACACTTAGGGCTGAGAATCGTTGCCTTAAAAGATTTTCCTTTTGTGCCCAAAGCGTACATGGCCACATCGCACGATGAAATGTCCTCCCTCCGTCTCAGAGCAGACAGGAGTAGGAAGTTGGGAGACACATAAGAAGGCGGCTCAGGTCCTTACGTAGCAGCTATAGAAACACACCAGCTCAACAGTTCAGGAAAGCCAGCCCTCTGGGATGAACGTGGACGGTAAGAGATCGCTTACCCCCTCCCTACCTCACCCCACTGCTCCCTTTTGCTCTGAACCTAAAACTGCTCAAAAAATAAAATCTATTTAAAATGGGCCAAAACAAAACTAAACGAAACTAAGCCCTGAGTTTCCTGGTAGCCCAGGTAAAGAGTCCTTCCATCTCCACTCATACAAGAAATCCAGTGATGTATCAGAAAGGAAGAATTTTCTCATATACCTATTGATATAAATCCCAAGAATCACAAAAAGGACGGGAAAAAACAGAGGGCTGCGTAATGAAACTCCACTGCAGCCATCAAATCGTGAGAGAAAATCACTTCCCAAATTGTGAAAAATGAGAGTGACACTGAAAGAGGTCAACTAATTAGGACGTCCTGGGGACACTTTCCTCTCCCCTCCACAGAGATAACTCATCACTCCCTTTACTTGTGCTGTCACCAAAAACAAAACAAAAACAGAGCACACGTGGCAGGATAAAAGGCCCCTATTTGAAGAGAACTCTGTCCTCTCCGGGCTTTCTGCTCCTTCTACCTTTTAATCCCTTTGACCATTCTGTGTAAATTCATTCCTAAATCAATCAATCGCCAAGTCCAGAAACCCTGCAACCCTCCAGTGACTGGTTTCCCTCCAGGATGAGCATGTGGGTCAGGGTCTCCTCCAGGAGATAGGATCTACTTTCAAACCAAATATATAATTTGTACCTGAAGCTTGTGGAGCAAAGACCCTGAGCTGCATGTGGACCTGAACCAATGCAGAGAAGAACGAATACATTTTTTTTTTCTCTCCAACAGAAAAGCTTATAAATCAAGCAGCCCGCTGTCCAATATTCAACGGCAGCTTGTATTCACAGCAAAGGTGATGATCGTGAAACTCTTAAGAAAAAGGAAAGAAGTGGATTACCGGCCACCCCGAAAGGCCGCCGCAAGCCGGAGGTCAGCTTCCTTGTGTTATTGTCTCTCAGTTCCATGCGACCCACTCGAACAATCTGACACACAAAACTGATTTTCTCCCTTTTCAGGTCTTTGCTTCCGAGATCCTAGAAATATTAATTTCCGTAAGTTATTTTGAAGAACCATTACTCAATGCAGGTTCAATTGAAACAGACAGTAGAAAGGTGCATTGCAACTCTTTTCTCCAGCCAGTTTTTAGCATTTTAATAAGTCATTCACAAGACAAAAAGGAGCTGAATCACAAAAGTCAATTAGCATTAAATGAACTTAAGATCCAAGTTTAAGAGACATACTCAACGTAATGGAGTACACATCTTTGTCGTGGGGATTCTAAGGGTAGCTAGAGACCCAGAAGATTCCTGGGCAGTTATGTTATTATAGTAAATTAACAAGTATTAAAGGCATCCCAAGGACCCATGCTCTAGTGTGGTGAGAAGTCAGACGGCGGTCATTAAAAATAGTCATTAGAATGGTAAGCAATTCAAATGAACATCTTTGGATGCACTTACAGTGAAAACAGCTCGCAAATTATGTAATCTGTCTATATCTTTAGGCAATCCTGAACTTGACCAGCGAACCAGGTAGTTTTCACTTGAAAAAAAGAAATAAAAGCAAATTAATTTCCCAAATAGAACAGGGTACCACATGTACATCCACACTTTTAATTAATACCACGGAGGTCCACTATGCAGACAACTAAATGGGTTCAGAAATATCAACCACATCAGATACAGCTGCTCTGCCATTAACAATATAAGCAATTTCCATACAGGATAGTATGTAAGGACGGCCTATACAAAGTCCTTGAGGTTTTAATTTTGGATGCCCAGGGTTATAATTCCAAAGGAACTATATGCAAACGGCATTTCCAAGTTCTTATTACTTTTTTAACCACTTTTTTAAATAGAAGTATAGTTAATTTACAATGTTGTGTTAGTTTCAGGTGCACAGTGCAGTGATTCAGTTATACACATGTGTATTCTTCAGATTCTCTTCCATTATAGGTTATTACAAGACACTGAATATAGTTCCCTGTGCTGTAACAGTAGGTCGTTGTTGTTTATTTTACAGAGTTGTGTGTATATGTTAAAAGTTTATTAGGAAAAGCATATTTGTTCATTTGGAACAATTATAGTCTCACATTCACCATTCATTCATTTATAGTATAAAGTAAAACTGCCTGATTATTTCAGAGCCTGACACAAACCAAATATGACCTAAAAATACATATTGAATCTTACAACAAGAAGAAATAAAGTCCTTATCAGAAGTGGCAATTAAATTTGTTCTGTTTTCTGTCATATACTAAGTTTTTAAATTTTCAAAAATACGAGTGAAGATTCTAGACTTTTAAAACACACAAACACACACACACACACACACACACACACACACACACACACACACACAGTTTAAACCATACTTTTTCCCTCAGGACAAAGAGAAAGTTATACTGAGGAACAAAAGCAAGAACTGAGAAGAGAGCACATGAGAAAGGACAGACATGGCAGAGATGGGATTTACAATATTTTATTGAACAAACATTCTTTGAGAGCCTTTACATAGCAGGCACCGTTCTAGACATTGTATTCCAGCCAACCATCTCGGAGTAATTACAGTAGGTCCAGAAATGACATTCACAGAGAACCAAAGCTCGAAAAAGCAAGATTAAGACAAGAGCAATATATTGGGTGGGGCTGGGCGGGGGCGTCAACAAACAAAACATCCTCTGAAGACAACATAGGAAGCATGACTTCAAGCTGTAGTTGCCAGGTCCTTATAACATTACAAGACTACAGCTTTACCATCAAATATCCACGTACGCGCAGGAAAGCTGACCCGGACGCAGAGTTCAGCTACCTGGGGGAAGTCTGGCCAGCTGATCACTCTTAGGGCTCCCTGCAACAGCAAGACTTTGTGGGGGGTCCTGAGGCCATCTTCCCAACAGTAACCAAAGAGGAAAGACAGCAGCCAGGGAATGTCACTGACCTGATGAACTTGGACTCCACAGGGTCATACAGAGACATGAGCACTTCAGCATCTTCTCCGATTTTACACACCACGTTTTTGAGGTTAACAAACAAGGCCAGAGAAGGGGTGGCAGCAAACTTGGCTTGTCTGTTAATGTCTATGTTCTGCTTTTGAGACTGTCAGTGGAAATAAAACAATACAACAGAAAGTCGACAAGAGCAACACTCTTGGCTATTCCTTGCTTTGTTCATTCCCTACAGAACAGAAAACAATGTGAAACTAGCTGCAGTAACACAGCAAAGCCCTTCATGCAGCGTCTTCCTTGTCTTCACCTGACACTCTCAACACAGGCACACACCCAACTGAAAATAACAGTGCCCTGTGCAATGGTCCCAGTCCCATAACAGCTTATACTGAGTATTTTCTTCAGATACGAAACATTTAGGGGCCCAGTCAATGAATCAGAATGGAGACTACATGTGGAGTTGCTTGTTTACTTTTTGGTTCTCCCATTAGATCAAACCCTCCGAGGACATCTCTGTTATTCATCATTATGGCCTCAGTACCTGGCACAGAGTAGGTGCTCAACAGTTGCTGAATGAATGGATGGCTCGATCAGGCAATCGAGTTCTCAGTGTCAACTACATACAAGATACCATTAAAGGCCATGGAAGATGGAAAAGATCAATAAGATACGTGTCCCCGCCCTCACTGAGCTTATTTTTTTTAATTAACTCTTATTGGAGTACAGCTGCTTCACAATGTTGTGTTCGTTTCTACTGTACAGCAAAATGAGTCAGCCTTACATATACATATATCCCCACTTTTTAGGATTTCCTTCCCATTTAGGTCACCACAATGCATTAAGTAGAGTTCCCCGTGCCATATAGTATGTTCTCATTAGTTGTCTATTTTATACGTAGCATCAATAGTGTATACGTGCCAATCCCAATCTCCCAGTTCTTCCCACCCCCCCATTCCCTCTCGGTATCCATACATTTGTTCTCTACGTCTGTGTCTCTATTTCTGCTTTGCAAATAAGATCATTGAGCTTAGATATGTCACTCTCCTATCAGAGGAAACACAGAATCGAGTATTGTTTCCCACGAGCTAAGACCACAAAGCCAATGTCATTAAAATCCTGCCCCCTGAGCTGAAGCACACCCCCGTCAAGAGCTGAAATGCTTTCAGGTCATCAGCAGCGTGTTTTGACGCTGGGCTCCATTCCACCCCAGGTCGTATGAAATATTGTGTGGCTGTGCCTTTTCAGGTCCTTTTCAGTGCACATAATGGGCATCACTGGTGGTGTTTTACTAACGTAGTAACCTGATGCTGAGGAACCGTGTTCCATGTGCAAATGGCGTATTACCAAGAGGAGAACTTGCCTTTTCTTCTTGTAATCTTTCCTCCACTTGTTTAGAGGCTACTTCATGAGCTCTGAAAAGACTAATCGTGCTCGTTAGCTCTGGATCCAGAATGTTCCCATCTTCATCTCGCACCACCAAGTCCAAATCAAGGATCCTAGAACAACAAGAATTCAGAACTTCACAACCCAAGGGCTTTGACTTCTCTATCAAACTTCAGTCCCAGCAACTGAGCAGAAAACATCACAGAAAGTCGGGGTCATCCACACAATATTAGGAAACACAATTCTGCAAGGTCACTGCCTTTAACTTAAAATGTATACCCTTGGAATTTAAAATAAAAAAGGGGCTTCCCTGGTGGCGCAGTGGTTGAGAGTCCGCCTGCCGATGCAGGGGACACGGGTTCGTGCCCCGGTCCGGGAAGATCCCAAATGCCGTGGAGCGGCTGGGCCCGTGAGCCATGGCCGCTGAGCCTGCGTGTCCGGAGCCTGTGCTCCGCAACGGGAGAGGCCACAGTAGTGAGAGGCCCGCGTACCGCAAAAAAACAAAACAAAACAAAAACTTATTCAGTTTTTACTTCCATTGCCATAGTGGCTTTGTCCTACAGATCTACAAAGTCCAAATGAAATGTACGTTGCTAATTACCATGTGAACTGTATGGACAGTTTTTTCTTTTGTTTTTGTTTTGTTTTAAAGTTTAAAGCAGACACATGCCATGTATATGCTGTGGCACATGAGTGTATATAAATTTGTGTGTGTATGTGTACGTATATACAGTCACATGCCCACCAATATGCCCAAATATATACAGCTGGTGGTTGGGGAGAGGTGGGAGGAAGGAAAAGCTGGAGCAGAGGCACACCCACCACTCCATTTCCTCACCACTGTCTCTGGCAGCTTCCACTGCACTAATTTCCTACTACCTAGAGTCAGTTCTAATCCCTTAATTAGCCCAGCAGAAGATTTCCGATAAAGACGTTCTACTGTTTCAACACAGAACATACGGAAGTCATCCACAGTAATGTTAAGCAACTTTCTGGCCAGATGGCTAAATGTAGTAGCCAACTTAAAACACAGGCAGCATCTGACTAATAAACCTGTCCGTCTGTATCTGGAAATGTTTTTTGGCAACATTCTCTCCATTTCCCCAAATCCAACAAAATAGGTAATTTTTACCACAATTTTTATTTAAAGAATAAACAAAGGTAATCATATAAAGAAAGAAACCAAGAGCTGTGCTACGGTGGTGTGTTCTGGTTTTCTTTTAATAAGATGAGGATCTTAAGCACAGATGCCTTACACTTTGCCTTTTGGATTTTTCTTCCTGCTATTAACAAGTCTACAGAAGCGGGGCATTTGTATTTTTTTAACCACACAACAAAGGAAAACACCTTTTGAAATGAAGATAAATTTCAGTTAGAGAATATCTTTAACAGTTACAAGGTGAAGAGGAAAGTTGACTTGGCAGTAAAACCTCCACTTAGATGAACTAATCTCTGACTTCTCCGAAGGTCACACACCTTAAAGCTACAGGTGAATGAGTCTAATAACGTGTCAAGCAGGTTTAGTTTTGTCAGTTGTGCTGGACCACTGCACTGTTTGTGGAAGGCAATCACAAAAACCTCATTTTGTCCTGTTAATATATCTACTGAGCAAATTCACGGATGGTGACACAAGACCAACTGGGCCTGTCGGCAGCCCAGGGTAAACGGACTTTTAAACGAATAGAGGCTTTTCCCTTTGCATGAAAAGAACCTTAGTGGTTGTAATGATTGTGAGGGATTTCAAGAGGTACAGAAAATAAACCTTCTATGCTCTTATTAGCTGTCTTTGTAACAAGATTCACCAATCTGGTAAAGCCCCTCCTTCTTTTTTTTTTTTTTTTTTTTTTTTTTTGCGGTATGCGGGCCTCTCACTGTTGTGGCCTCTCCCGTTGCGGAGCACAGGCTCCGGACACGCAGGCTCAGCGGCCATGGCTCACGGGCCCAGCCGCTCCGCGGCATGTGGGATCTTCCCGGACCGGAGCACGAACCCGTGTCTCCTGCATCCGCAGGCGGACTCTCAACCACTGTGCCACCAGGGAAGCCCAAGCCCCTCCTTCTTAAATATTACTGCTCGTCCCCTGGGAGAAACCAGTGCCGGTGTGGGTGGAGTCAATGCTAATGAAGTGGGATCCATTCTGATGTAGGCACAGTCAATGCTAATGAAGTGGGATCCGTTCTTATGTGGGCAGGGCCCGGGCTGGCGTGGGCAGAACTACAAAGCATCTGGCTTTAGGAGGACTCACCAGAAGGTCCTGCAGGCCACACAGAATCAGGCTCCCTGAGAAGCAGAGGCTCTGGCCATGCTCCAGCCTGCTGTGTACACCCTGCCATGTACCTCAGGCCTGCCAGTACAGCGGTCAGACCCATTTCACAAAGGAGGAAACCTAAGCTCAGAGAAACATCTAAAAGACCCCAGGGCCTGGATTCTGAGCCAGAACCCTCTCATGGCAGAGCCCATGCTCTTTCTGGAATGCCATGTGGAAACTGCCACAGGAAGTGGTCTCTCAGGGATCTCCACACCAACCATTCCATGCGCTGTTCTCAGCACCTGGTGCTCGGGTGGTTCTGAATCCAGACTGAGCCTCCACTGTGAAGGTACACTGCAGCAGAGCAAGGGACTCTAACACCATTAGAAACTAAATCCGTGGAGCCCAAAGCACCTCTGGCGGGGGTGGGGCGGGAACCCCCTGAAATTACGTGCAAAATTGTGTGCGTATGTGTATGTGTTATGTATGTGCATTTTATGGTCCATGACCTTAATCACATTCTCAAATGTCTCCCAGAAACCATTTTAAAATCCGACTTTCAACACAGTGATTTTATTTTTTACTATTTTGTTTTCTGAAGAAGGAACTAGAAAGATATGCACAGAGTATTGGGCTTTGGAGAAGTTATGGAGTAGATCTGAGTTCCTTGGGCAAAAACCTATCTTGTTAAGGACTGCATTTCCTATCAAAGTAGTAAATTACGTTTGGAAATACTTCCCTTTCTTAACTAGATTGTTCCACGACATAATGTACTTTGGCTTCCCGCGGCCAAATTAAGCAGGTGGTTTCTGGACATAAGTTCAAAATATGATACTCCAAGAGAAAATAAAAGCAAAGCTCCAAAAGTTTGGTTTTTTAGGCAGGTGGTCTTGAAGTGGGTTTCACTGCAACAATATCTAATATCCTATACCCAGAAATCTCTGGCTTCCTGGGGGAAAAACAATTTTAAAGCCTTCTCCTGTAGCCTTTTCTAATCCAAACATTACATCTTACTAATAATGCAGCTTTTAAAACCTTTTCACACTTGAAAGTCTGAATTACCAGAAAAGAAAACTGTTATAATTCTGATTTTACAAAACACTTTTTTAGTTTTTCCAGGGCTCCCTTCAGCTGAATGGAGCTATTTTCTGAGCTTTACGTCCTAATGTGTAAAATGAGGAGGCTGGACTAAACCAGTAGTTTCCCAATCTGCTGCCCATCACAGTCCAAGTCTATTTTTAAATACTGGGATTTCTAGCCAGCATTCCAGACATCAGCAATCAGGATCTTAAGGAGTGGTTCCCAGGATTCTATATTTTGAAAGCTTTCCAAGTGATTCTGATATAGACCAGCATTTGGGGGTCCTGTGACCAGATACTTTTTAAGGCTTCTTGCAGCTCTGACATTATATGAACAGTCAAATAGTTATCCGGTATAAAAGGGTGTGGCCTCATTCTGGTTACAGAACCTGGGAGAGCTGGGATGACTGGGCATCAGAAATGCATGCTCACACTAGAACACGCATCTCTGTGGGAGAGTGAGTGCATCATTGTTAAAGGCATTCAAGCACAGCTGGGCGGCACCCTGCTGTAAATGGGAACTTTTGCATGAGACATACTCCTGTAAAACAATTGTGTTGTTCATATCGAAAATGCAAATTTAGCTGGCTGTATTCTTTTTCCAACAAAAGGTCTCACGTATTTATTATTAAGCCAATAATAATAGTTTCTGCACTAGTGAAGAAAAACTGACACAGAAATAAAACACATCCGGCTGTTCAGATACTAGTGATGGTCTCAGAGAGATATGGTAAGATGCAAGTGGTCCTGACCCAGGATAAACGTGCGCCACCTCATGTGAGGCCCCTTATAGACCCAGCTTGGTTATTCTCCAATGTCTTCTCTTGGAATTGTACCTGATTTTATTACCAGTTTTCATTCAAATCCATTGGGGAATAGGACAATTCTCCTTTTGTTCCTTGGCCAGGAATCGCTTGATCCTGGAAGTCTTGTGAGAAGACATGGCAAGGAGCAAATTCAACCACACATAGGATGACGGAGAAGAGAAGAGACCAGCTGGCTGTATTTCTGTTCGCCAAATCTGGCGTCCCTACGCTGGTGCCAAGTTTTAAGGTGCCCTTCGATGTCCCTTCCAACTTTCAGAACGCAGGACTGCACAGAAAGAAACCTGGTGCTTTTGTTACTACACAAAGTACCCCCATGTCTGGACTCAAGGTCAAATACCGTCAGGAGAAAGGAAAAGTTCCCCGTCAGGGGCATCACTGTGCGGTCCCCTCTGAAAGAGTGACAATTGACAGGTTATCCCAGGCCCATCTTCTTGAAAAGAATACTTTTCAACAGTGACTCAGAAAACCCCTGATCTTCAGGATCCAAGAGAAAACAGCTCATCCTTTTAAAAATGAAACCCGTGCCATTATTTTGATGTTAGAAATTTTGTTTTATCGTAAGATAGGATTATATTCTCCTCAAGGTTTATGGGGATGCTATCATACTGGATAATGTAAGCATGAAATCATCTTTCAAATAAACAAACCTGTTTCCATAATCAATTTTGGCAGTGACTTTCTTCTTCAGTTCTTTGAGCTCATCCTGTGGCAGAGTTCCAGAAAGAATCTGCGATCGCCACTCAATAAGGTCGTAGATCATGTGCCGAACGTTTCGAAACATCTCCCTGTTATCTTGCTAGACGAGGGGGGAAAAGCCAGTTGTTAAGTTCTTGATTTAAAAGAGCACTGTGGATTTCTTTCTTTCTCAAATAGACATGTCTGTGCTTTATATGATGGTGTTCAATTAATGTCAAATTAAAGATGTTTTTAGCATGGAACTGAACACATTAGATAGAATTTGGTTCCCATCACACACGAAAAGATTAAAAGAATAAAAGACAATGCACAATCTTGCATATTCCAGCCAACCAGAGTAGACCAGGGCAGGATCTGGACTTGGAGCCTCAAAGCCAGCACGGGAGCTTCTAGAATCTGGCCTATGAATGGGCAACCCTTGCAGCTCCCTGAGGAAGTGCCCAGCCGACAGATCTTGCCTGCTGAGACTTCAGAATACCTTCTTCCCCAATCATTCTCAGCACACAGAGAAACTCAACCCTGAGGCCTGTCGGCTGAGCTACAAGAGAATGTGCCTCTGGGCTCTTCTGGTGACTGTGGTGCATTTGGCACGTGCAGAGAGGCTTCTGCAAAAGGCAAAATCTGAGTCTACAAGCTCTCGGTGCGTTTACACCAAAAGGGAAGCACAAACAAGATACAAAACTCGTACCTCTTATCACTTTCTACATATTCCAAGGGGTTTGATGGTACAAAGAAAAGCAACAGTTTTGCAACAGCAAGAGTACAATTCATCAAGAGGGACTTCGCTGGTGGCACAGTGGTTAAGAATCCGCCTGCCAAGGCAGGGGACACGGGATCGAGCCCCGTTCCAGGAAGATCCCACATGCCGCAGGGCAACTAAGCCCGTGCGCCACAACTACTGAGCCTGCGCTCTGGAGCCGGCGAGCCACAACTACTGAAGCCCGCGCGCCTGGAGCCCGTGCTCTGCAACAAGAGGAGCCACCGCAAGGAGAAGCCTGCGCACCGCAAAGAGTACAATTCATCAAGAAAATGAGGAATCACCCAAAGGAAAGAGAATCCTGTGGTTCTTTCCATGAAAAAAAATCTAGCTGAAACCTAACTTGATAAAATTCTACATGGCATGGTGCCTATAAAAAATTTAAATGTGGTCATTGCTACATTTCAGAATAACTTCTCCCCTACACAGCTGAATCACTCACCCCCAGTATTTCTACATTTGACATCCTTTCTAGGAGTTTCTAAGACCCCCCACCACTTACCCATCCTATCACGCCCTAACAGATTATCTTCCATCCCATGAGCTTTTTTCCTTAGTATCATCCTAATCTTAATTTTTTTCTTTTTTTTTTCTTTTTTTTTTTTTTTTGACCACGCCACGAGGCTTGCAGAATCTTAGTTCCCCAACCAGGGATCGGACCTGGGCCCACGGCAGTGAAAGCACTGAGTCCTAACCAACCACTGGACCACCAAGGAATTCCCATAATCTGAATTCCTTAAATGAAAACTAAATAATCAAAATCAATGGTTTATTCTAAAATTAAGTTTGTTTCCATCTTATTAATTCTCCTTGTCCAGTTTTATAAAGCATTACCAAATATCTAAAATCCTTAATATTTTCCTAACTTGTCTACAGCCATAGAGCAAAGGGGAAAAAAAATATTTATGAGCAATATATGTGTGTGTGTGTGTGTGTGTGTGTGTGTGTGTATATATATATATATATATATATAATAAGCACTGTTGTTTAGCTTTGCACAAATCTAGCAATGTAAATCCCTAAGAGGCAAATGTAAATTTTTTAAAAGGAAACCAAGGTGACAGTTAGGAATGCCTGTTCCGGGATTGTATGGCTAAAACCGTGTCCACTAACATATCTGTCAGCATCAACTCCTGTTTGTTTTCCTGCTGCATTTTTGTTTAAAAATTGCTAACATGAAACACCGACTCCAAAATTGCTCAGATTTACACAAAACATTCACGGCTAACTTTACGCTTTTAGGTTTTTGAGAACATTTGATGAACAATTACTGCAACTGCTTATTACTGTGCATTTATAGGAAACCACTGTATAATCAAAAGCAACAAGGCTGCCTGGAGAGCAGCTGTGGGACGCTGGAAAGTTTTCTATGTTCCCGAGAAATGGAAGCACGGCCTTCCCTCCAGAGTCCTAGCTTTGTGCTGACAACATTAGCAGGTGAGAAGTTAAGACTCTGAAAAGAAATACAGGCTTAACAAAAGGTGTGCTTCCGTAAACAGGAATTTATGTGCAAAGAAATGCCCCGGGGAATATGAAATGGAAGATGTCAGGGCTCCAAACTCGCTGCCTTAATAAGGCTTCTTCCGAGATGAGGAGAACTGGACATCGCACACGAAGCCAGAAAGTAAACTATTTCCGTCCCTCTGCAACAGACACGCTTAGGTCTAGAAGACTTTATCATTTTTCTCAAATGATAAGCAGCATTATCTACATGCAAACAATGGCAAAGATAGCCATCCCTCTCTACTGCATCCATAACGAAGCACCTACGACAGTTTATTGCTTTTTTGGGGTTTTTTTTTTTTGTGGTACGCGGGCCTCTCACTGTCGTAGCCTCTCCCGTTGTGGAGCACAGGCTCCGGACGCGCAGGCTCAGCGGCCATGGCTCACGGGCCCAGTCCCCTGCATCGGCAGGCGGACTCTCAACCACTGCACCACCAGGGAAGCACCTACGACAGTTTAAAAGCAGATTTTCGCTTTCATACTCACATACAAACTTTGAGGGAACCCCAGCGCAGGTTGCCTCAGCCTGTCTTCCAGAGCCTGAAAGCAGCCCATTTCCCTTTCCAACACAAGGAAAGGTGAAACCCATGGCCCCTTCCTTGACAGCCACTTCACTGTAGTCAGCACGGCTACACCTCAACACAAAGCAGGTAGAAGGGCACATGGTCCCTTAGGGTGGCCAGAGTACTGGGCCAGGCTGCTAAGTATGACCCGCTCCCACAAGTTCTGCTTTTGAGGTTCCCGGAAAAAGGAAAACTATCCTGTTGGTTCAGCGGGGTCCAAAAAGACCATTCTCTATTGCTAAGCTCCGATTCAAAATCCCATTTTCTCACCACGTAGAGCTGCCTCCAGATGGTGGACCACTCTCTCAGTGTTGTGGTGACTTCCTGTATGAGCGGGAGGTCGCCTGGGATGACCGTTTCATGTTGCCTGGGAAGGATGTAGGAAAGGACAGAGACGGTCATGGCTTCGTTAAACCAGGGGTACCTTGTAAATTCCAAATCTAGGCTGTAGTGTGCAATATTTAAGCAAATGGAGAGACAGTATACAAATAAGACTGTGCCCACAAAGGAATACATACATCTCTACGAATGACAAGTAATTTCTGTGCAGAGTCTGAGAATGTTCGTACATCATCCTCCATGTAAGCCATCTACCTCATATGTCAAGGTAAGATGAAGGAGGCAAGTAATATCTCATCAGAACATCAAGGTCTGAGAAGTGGAAAGTATATTCATAATATGTGTACCCGTCTATTTTATAGATGCCATAAATTACCACCAGGCTGTGTGGCATTAAAATGCAGGTTTGGGCTAAGATGATTTTTTACATTTCCATCAGGCCTAAAACTCATTATATGATAACATACATGAAGCAGTTATCCTTGCGAAATATGAGCGAGGTTACAGCTTTCAAGTGTCCACAGGTGCCCTGATCCCCAAATTCTGCTTATCCTCTTTCCC